GCTCAAATGCAAGGAATAGAACCTGTAAGTAAAAGAATAAGAAAAATGAAGGCACAATGGAGAAGGATCTTCGCCTTGTAATTCTCCCATTGACTTGTGACAGGTAGACTGCAGGGGCAACTTCTACATGTTGTCTGTGTGTGTTTAGTCCTTGATGGTAGATGCACTGCCATGTCCAGTGCAATGATTCAAGTGACAAAGGTGTTCATTTTATCAGTAAGTAGCTTGATTCTCATCCGGAGAGTATGCCTGAACTCTCAGCACTTACACAAGTGACCCAAGTGGTCTGATTAGCAACTGTAATTTGTTTCTACAGTATGTATCCCCAAAGAGCAGTCTGCTTATCTTCCAAGTTGTGGACAAGGTGGCTAGGACATTGTTAACAGCCGAAGAATAAATAAAAATACATCAAGGATCATCAAGTGGCACATTGCCCAGAGTTATGAGCAGGGTCTTGAGTTTTATCCCTGGAGCAGAGCAACCACACATCCTTTGGGCTTTGCATAGCTGGGAGGGACACCACTGGATTCTAGCTAACCTGAACCCTCAGAACTTAGGCCTAAACAATTTGGGAAACCTTTGCAAATCAAGAATTAATGGAGCTGGGAGATTTATTTCAGGTCATGGACTGGAGATGGCTGTCACTTTTTTATGGAAAGCTGAGCTATCACTCAGGCCAAGCCACTTGCATTCTTGAATATACAATTTTGTTTGATTATTGGAGTCTTTTTGGCCCTGATCACATGTTTAATTATTGAATCTGAGTTGGTCCACCCTAACATGGGAGTATCAGGTCAGAAAACCACAGATTTCCTAGGGTCAGGCATTCAAGTTTAGAAGAGCTTTGATATAGATCAATAGCTGCTTTTCCCAAAAAGGGCTGATATAGGAGAAAGGTGAAGAGTTTAAATTCCCAAGGAATGTTTGAGGTGGTGGTTGCCTTTTTGTTGTCAGAGGCTCCAAGTGAGAAAATCATTAGTCACAGGGGCCTGTGGCTCACAGAGGCATGAGAGTTGAGAGACCCTACAGGTAGAGTGTGGATCACAGCTGGCTGCATAGCTTCCAATTCAGCTTGGTGTTTGAGTCTCCTGAAAGTTTTCCCGAAATTCTATATTCTGAATTCGTTTTCTTTTTTCTAGCAGAAAAAGATCAAGTTGTTGAATGCACACACTTCTGGTATTAAAATAGCTGTAGGGAGTTTATTATTTGGTCAGGAGTGTAGAACATGCAGAGAGGAGGGGAAGGCCTGTCTGCAGGGATGGCTGGAGAAGTAGGGGTCTTTGCTACCCCACCTCAGTACTAGAGCTGCCTTCTTCATCCTCAAACATCTTCCAGTATCTGAGGCTCTTTCTTTTTGTCCCCATATAAGTTGCTTTGTTTGTCTTGCAGTCCTTGGTATTTTGACCAATATATTAAGTTATACATTGCAGTGCAATCAATTTCCCAAATCTTAATGCCTTGAAAAAATAAAATGGCACACCTCAGAGTTTCTTTTGGTCAGAAATCTGAGTGTGGTTTAGCTGGATTCTTTGCTTCAGAGTCTGTCACAGACTATAATCAAAGTATCAACTAGGGTATGACTACAACTTGTCCTGACTGGGGAAAAAAATCTTCTTCTAAGCCAATCATGTAGTGGTTGGCAGGATTTAGTTCTTTTCAGGTTGTTGGATTGGGTTGTTAGATCCTGGGTCCCAGACGAGAGCCATCATCTTGAATTATACCTCAATTTTAGCCTGGTGAAACCCAAAGACATCAGGGTTTGAAAAACCGATTCCCTAACAATATATAACTAATATATCAGTCACACTGTGCCCAAACTTCAGACTTATAAAAACTGAGATGATAAACTTTATTAAACTACTAAGTTTATGACAATTTGTTTTACAGTGATAAAAACCAACACAGATAGCTAGGATGGGGGGCGTGCCTTTACCTATTCCCAATTTGGTGAGAACATTAGCTACTGAATTCCAGGAAGTTTTCTCATTCCTCTTAACCCTGACTTGTGGAAGCTCTTGTCCTTTATCTTTCAGAAAAATAACTCTATTATCATGTTTTTCTTATTTCCTCAAGTGTCAAGAGCTATAGAGGATCTCAGATTTTACTCTATTTGCAAACTACCGAGCTAGCCTGTTATTGTATGCTGGTGTAAGAAACAGAATTCCTGGGTCAAAAACAAAGTACTTCATTATTTAAAGCAGAAGCACAAGTCAGAAATCCACATTGATCAGCATTGGTTGGTATTTACTTCTTATGTCATGAGTCCTGTGGGGTGAGATAAGTGAGGCCCAGTTTCAAGCTCTCACATTGTAGGTTTGTGTCAAAGCTTAGGAATATTGAGCTTAGGAGCTTACCACTTATATATTAAGTGGTAACCTGCTCCTTTTCCTGTGGGAGATGTGTCTGTATTCTTCAAGGTAGTGCAGACTCAAACCTGAGAGAAATTCTGGGTATGGGGTGATGCGGGCCTTGCATCCTTGGCATCTTTTCTTGATATCCCTCCCAATGAAAATTTAAGGAGAAGAGAGTAAATAGTGACATGCTGACTAAAGGGAAATAAGAAGTGAAACCGACTAAAAAATTAAAATCTAAAATAAAGGAAGAACGATATTTAGTGCTTCAAAAAATGACTTTTTACTAAAAAAGTGCAATACACAAATAAAGATCCTCCTGGGAAAAAAGCAAGGAAAAAATACCCCAGAGCAAATACTAATTAGAGATTATAACAAGAAACTTTCTATTATTATTATTTTAAAAGAATTGAAACTTCACATTGAAAGAGCACGCTGACTACCTGAGGACATTTTTGTTTTTACTTAGAAAGAAGTAAACCAGGACGTACTATAAAGTTACTCAACTTCAAAGAAAAAAGTCCTTTGAACTTTTAATCCAAGAGATCAAACAGCTTGTGACAGATAGGAATTTGGTTAATCATTAGACCCTTACAAATGGAGAAATGTATTTATGATACATAAAGAAAGAAAATACAAACCAAGGATTTTGTATTTGGCAGAATTCAGGTTCAAGTGTAAAAAACAAAAAGTGTTTTGGCATAGTACATTTAAAAATTTTATTCCCATAGGCCCTTCCTAAAGAATCTATTAGGGGAAAACTGCTTCTGATCAAAATACTACAGAGATTTCAACTTTTGGGCTGTTGATGAATTTTAAATATAAACCTAGAAAAACAGAGACTCAATAAAGATGAAAAGGCAAAGTGTTCAATAGCTATATGATTGGATGGGGTAGAATAATAGTCATAAAAATGATACACTGATGAGCATAAACAAAAATTTGAAACTATTTTAGAACCATAATTGGTGATGATCTTAATATTGTTATACTGAGACTGAGGTGTTTAATGTGGGATCAAGCTATTTTCAGCTATTCTATTTTTTTCTAATTTTATATTATTCTATATATGCTATACGGTAATTTATATACCTAAAATTGTTTGTTATAATTGTTATATGACATGTAGATACATATCATTCTAATTTTATTTTATTCTGATTCTATGTCCTTGAAAATAAATATAAAACAAAGGAGATTAAAGTTGTAATATAAAATTGAGTAAAAACTTTGTAGTCTTGCATTTTAATTGTAAATATGAAGGACTCCTAAGGAATTAGTCATTTATCTATTATTTACCTTAAAAATACTAGAAACTGCCAAATGTGCAAGTCTCAAGTCCATATAACAACTGGGTTGAGATCACCCTATCTTTGTAATTTTGAGAACTGTTGTCTCATTTTCCTGCTTACTGATGTATTAACTTATACCCTCACCAACAATTTAAGACAGTGCTTGTTTTATTTCAATCTTGCCAACACTGTGGTATTATCAAATTTAGATTATTGAGACTTAAGTAAAAATAGTATCTGAGTTTAATTTTAATGTACATTATCCAAATCAGGAGTGGATGTGGGAAGACTATGACTAATTTACCTTAAAAATCTTTTTTAAAAAATATTTTTTAATTGTTGACAGACCTTTATTTTATTCATTTATTTGTATGTGGTGCTGAGAATCAAACCCAGTGCTTCACACATGCAAGGCAACTGCTCTACCACTGAGCCCCAGCCCCAGCCCAACCTTACAAATCTTTATTGGCTATTTTGTGTGTTCCAAGCATCTAGCTGCTGGGTGTGCCATATAAATAAAGCAAAGCACTTGCTTTGTTCTAGTAGAGGTGTCAATAAGTGAACAGTTAGACACACGAAGTGAGGTATCGAGAATTGCTGTAAAAACAAAATAGGGAAAAGAGTGGAGAATAGAGGAAATGCTGCTCTATTTGAGAGGGTGACATTTGAGCAGGGATCTGAGTGAGCAAGGGGAATAAGGTAGAAAAGACATTAAAGAGGTGACCATTGCTCAGATTGGGGAAGGATTTTTTTTTTGCTATTAGAGCTTTGAATTTTCTTATAAATATGAAGAGAAACTATTGGAGGACTTTGAGAAGGGGTGTGGCATCTATGATATATAAAGGGTTCTCTGGGTGCTTTGTGGAGAAATAATTGTAAGGGGGCAAGAATAGAAAGCAAGGAGAAAAAATATGACTATTTCTTGTTCCAGGCAAGAAATAGTAATGGATTAGATTATAATAATGGCAATGGAGATGGAAAAAAATGAACCCAGGTGAGGAGAATGGATGAGATTTGCTATCAAATACCTTACAAGGATGGGGCATAGGAAGCTCTAAAGAACACCTCCCTTATTAAGACCTACAACTCTGAAGTAGGAGCCATCAGGAAGATTGTTTGAGACTCAGGAAGAACACAGTTTTATTTTAATGGGAGGATTTGTGCAAAATCAGAGTGAGAATCCATTGAACTACTATGAGGGAACCATATTTAGTGGCTTGGTTTTGGGAACATGAAAGTACCATCTGGCCCTGAAATTTTATGATTTTTATCATTAAGATGAATAGCCCAAGAACAGATCAAAGGAGAGAACAATCAGCACCTTCCATAGGAAGCTGCACATGACAGAAGTTCCAGAATGTTTCTTCTGTTTCTTCTGGGCACAGCCTTCCTGTTCTGCCCCTATTGGGGTAAGTCTTGAAGATTAACATATTAGCTTGTGGTTGGTTAAGAGAGGGACAGACCCCGGGGAAGGGAAAGTCTCCAAAATTGGCTCCTGGGGCTTTGATAGATGTCTGTGATACTATGACGAGAGATTCTTTTTTTCCTTCTCTTTACAGCTGAGTTTAAAAACTCTGTAAAAGGTAAGTCCACATCTGGTTTAAAATCCTGGCAGACAGGTCATTTGTGACACATTTAGGTATAAACCTCCCTTCCATCTTCAGAGAGAGCAAAAATCCATTCTTGCTATAGAATCTTTGGAGTTTCATCTTTTCCCAATCATATTTTGTCCATTTCTTGGAGTAAAGGAGGCTTAAATACCCTTCTTTTCTTCCTTTTACCCATCACTGAATAAAATCATCAGTCTAGATAAAGAGTTTATTACTTGAGGTCCTTGGATAAATTTTTCTGGAACCCCCACCTCCTGAAATGTTATAAAACATTTGGTTTGTGTCTGTAAAGATTATGTTTCATAAGATTATCAAAGGAGTCCTAACCCAGTAAAGTTAGGAAGCCCTAGCGAGTCCCTGCAAAGAAGATCTCAAGCCCAGAGAAACCTCTCCAGACTGGGTCATCTAAGCACCTCTTTCTGTATCTGGCAGATACTGCAACAGTATGCTATAAATGTAGAACATATCATCTTGGATTCTGCTATGGAAGCATGAAGTCCTGCAACCTGAAGCACAGGCAATTCTGTGCTACCGAGAACTTTTATGTACTCATGAAAAATGGTAATGTGGGTATAAAGGGGCAGGGAAATGACTAACTCTTCTCTTAGAAGCAGTGGTGCTCTTTGGCTGTCACAATGAGTAGGTGACTGGGGTGGACGAGGATGGGTGCTCATGTAGAGGGATGGAAATGATGAACTTTTTCCTAAGACAAAATTGGGTGAAGGGGAGGCTGATATCCCTAACCAGTTAGGGAATAGAATCCATTCTCTAAGTCAGTAATTAGTAGACTTAGTCTTGTAACTCATTTGGGCCTGGAGAAGGTTAGTGAGGATCTAGATAAAAAAGGGGTCATTTCAGTTGTATTTTCAGTTGTATTTCCCCTCTTTCACCTCCTCAGGGAAGAGTATGTATCATTATTCAAGATTGTCCTGTATGACCTTCTGTGAGGACATCAACTTCATGAATTTTAATAAGAGGACAGAGCTTATCTGTTGCCAAAACAGTAACTATTGCAACCTCCCTGAGGGACTCTAGTTCTACATCATTCCTGGTCTTGAGATCTTTCTTTAACTCACGACCTACTTTACCTCTTCCCCAAAGCTTGTATTTTGTTCTCCTCTCCTGGTCAATAGGGAGTGAGAAAGCCAGCTGTACCACTGCAGGCAGGGAGTTTTACTTTTTTCATGCTGCTGCTGCTGTGAATAGGTTCAGACTTGTTTATTTATTATCTCCTATTTGAAAATGCAAATTCATGAACCAAAATTATTCCAAGACTGTCCTGAGAATTCTGAGATCATACTCTATCCTCATCTACACCCACTCCTCTGGGCTGGAACTCTCTTTGAATTAGCCTCACAACTTCCTGATAACAGTTGTTTTGACCATGGGTTCTGCAGGTACAGGAGAGCTAACCCCAGCTTCCCAAGGTTCGCTGGCAACATGAGTCAAATCTTACTCTGATAGAGCTTTTGGGATGATTTCAGGCCAAAAAACAAGCAAACAACAACAACAAAAAAATGGACAGACATAGGGATAAGGCATCAAGGAAAATTTTAGGGGGACATCAGTCTATGGAAACTGAGATTTGAGAGATAATTTGATGTGAGTGGAATTGCCTTGGATTATCATGACCTTTGCTGGCCAGGTAACCTGGGGACATTATTGAATTAGGTGATTGGACTGGGAATGGAGGCCTTGTTCAAAGATGACTACTCAGTTTCTTCTTATGGGAATAAGGAAAACATACAAATGGCCTTCAACAGTAGGTAAAGATGATAGAATGCAGAGAGATAGCATGGAGAACTGTTTGGGTAACAAAGCACCCTGTTTAAGATGAAGTCATGAGTAAGCTAAGCTGAAGATGTTAGATAGCAGAAAGATAATGGAAGGGAAAAAAGCAGGCAAACATTGAGCAAAACAAATAGAAACCAAGCAACACTTATGTGGGGAGAAGCACAGCTGTGGACAAGATGGAATAGTTTTGGATACAAAATAACCCTAGCATTTCTCTCTTTAGGAGGCCCAATGTAGTCCTTGATCCTGGATTCCCATGAGCCTTTTCTCTATTATGCCACACGAAGTTCTTAAGTGAACTACCTCTCCACTTGAGAAGTGATGTTTACCCTTTGTTTTGATCTGTGCTGGAGAACGCATCTTTTCTAAAGAATTCTCAATTTGAATTTTACAGGGTCAGAATAAAAAAAGACAAAAGAACTTTTTCAAAATAGGCAAGCAGATTGTAAAAGCCAATGTAACATAATATTTTGAGTTTAAGGCATGGGCTCCTGATGTATGTGGGCCCTCTTACCCTTTGAATCATGGGGATGGGAGAGGTCAGTCTAGTGGGGTAGAAGAGGTAGGGGAGAAGAAAGAATGTGTAGGGAGCCAGAGAGAGGGAGATGGGGGAGAAAGGGGGAAGGGAGAGGAAGAGGGGAAATACATTTTGTGTTTCAAACTTTAAAACTACTTCTGAATCAGCTGGGCATGGAGCACATGCCTATAATCCCAGTAACTTCCAGTAACTTGGAAGACAGATGCAGGAAGATTGCAAGTTCTTGGCCAGCCTCAGTAACTTATGAGACCCTTTCTCAAAATAAAAACTAAAAGTGTTCAGAATGTACCTCAGTGGTTAAGCATCACTGGGTTCAATTCTCAGTACTACAAACAGAACAAAACAAAACAAAGCAACAATTCTGAATCAATGTAGTGGATGGTTTTGATTTGATTTTAGTGTCTACTGAAATTCTTTCTCTTGATTAGTATACCCAACTCCATTAAGTGTTGGCTTATGGTAACTCATAGTTATTTACTTCTCTGGAGACTTGCATTCTGCTAAACAGGAGTTGCCTTAATGGGCAACTTGAATGAGGCAAGAAAAATAAATAAATAAATAAATAGACGTGAAGAAACAAGCTTCAGAGAATTGTCAGCAATAAAAGTATAAAAGTGGAACAACCAAGATTGTTTGAATCAAATGTGATAACATTCATATATCGAAATATATCGAAATACTATGCCTCCACAAGAGATGATAACATTAATGCAAATTTATCAACACAAACTCATGTTAAAATGTATTCAGTGAAATTTCTACTATCTACCTACCCATTATCACATTTCTCTCAATCAACCACACTTTTTATTCACCAGTAGAGAATTCTGGCTTTTAGATATATTATCTAGTCCTAAAAATGGGGTGGATGCTCTTTTCTAGAATATGCTTATTTATTTGTTTAGAAATGAAACCAGGAAAAAGACCTTACAAAAATACAGATGTTGGAATTAGCAGACTAGATTAAAAAAAATCTTATGAATATTTTCAAGGACTGAAAGGAAATGAGTGAAAAGACAGGGAATCTCAAGAGAGAGCTAAAAATATTTTTTAAAATTTACCAAAGATCTCCTGTAACAGTCTTGTTTTGAATAATTCACATTTTTGTTCATTTTTCTTTTTTGATTTTTAAATAGGAATATAAAGTCATTTGAAAATAGGTTAAAAACTAAGTAGAAGGCACAGTAATTTAAATAGCATAATTTTGTATTAACGAATGACCTGTCAAGGTGGAAGACATGTTTATCTTTTTTTGCTGTTAGGATATTGTTGGTAATTTTCCAGGCTTGATATATAATAAAATCATTACTCATGTCTCACGTATAACAAAGATACTGTTAGAAGAGGAGTTTCGGTTACAAACTCTTTATCAGCAGATGCAGAAAAAGCATCTGGAAAAGGATATTGTTTTTTCACAATAAAACACTCAATAAACTAGAAAGAACAGAAGATGTATTCAACTAAATCAAAGGTTTTTATGAAAAAAAAATAGTTAACATGGTTAAGGTAGAAGAGCAAGTACTTTACACCTGTAATCAGAGTCAAAGATTTCTTCTCTCAAGGTATGGTACTGGAAGACATCTACCTAGGACAAGAAAGCAAAACTGAGCTCCTTAGTTTAAAACAAACAAACACCAATCAAGCAAACAAAAAACTGCAATGAGCTATCATTTCATATCCATTAGGATGGCTATTGTCAAAAATAAAACAATAAAACAGAAAATAACAACTGTTAGGAAGGATGTAGAAAAGTTGAAATTCTCATGCACCCACTTTGGGAAATAAGAAAATGAGCATTGTAAGCCTAAAACAGGCAGAATAAAACATAAGCACAAACTTAGAGAAGAAATCAATGAACTGGATCAAGAACAGAAAAACTGAGAAGATCAAACAAAACAAGTCAAAAGCTTGTTCTTTGGAAAGATTTTTAAAAATGATAAACCTCTAGCCAGGCTAATTAAGAAAAAGAGGATAGTGAGAGAGAACATAAAGTAACAATATGACAAATAAAAAGATGGTTGATTGCTGATTCCAATTTCCTTAAGAGGGTAATAAAGGAGTACTACAAGTGACTCCATGCTCACAAATTTAATAATGTAGATGGAATGAACAATTCACTTCTATTGGAGACATCAGTATGAACTTATATCAGTTTAGTATAGACGCAGATGGATGTATATAGAAAAATTTATAAATATGTACATTTATATGTTATACAAATGTTTATCTCCTTGCATGTCAAATGAGGGTCTAGGTATAGTACTATCAAGAGTAATGAGCACCCTTAACCCTCAGATCTTGGTTTCTTTTTTTGTTTTCTTCACACCTTGGTTTCTAATATCATTCTCCAAAAGAAAAAATCAGAGGTTCTTGGAGAAATAGTTGCTGCTAGGAATGGAATAGCAAATTAAAATGATGAGTCTGAAAACACAATGGAGATATATCAAAGGGACAGGGGAACAAATGGAGAGATCTCCCAATGGCCTAAAAGTAAAATAAGTTGAACAACAACCTAAATATATGAATTCAATAAATACCCGTGAGTTTAAATGATAAAAATAAGTAACTGAGAAACAACAAAAAGAAAGAAATTAGGGGAGAGTGGACAAATCTGTATGTAGAAAAATTTCAAATAGTTTATGTAGATACACACCCATATTTAACCAAATGTAACTTGAGCCCTTAAGATGGGCTATGCACAGTGACATCCAAAAAGCATAGTGTGAAAAGTGTGGAGGGGGTCTCTACTGTAGTAGAAAAACCTGACAAATTCTCTCAGCCAGATGACCAAGACTGAGTGATAGATTATATAATAAGCTATGTCAATAGTTCCCTTCATATGGTTGGAAGAAAATAGTTTTGTTCATTTAGTCTTCTTCCCAAGAATACTTACCCCCAATACAACATGATCAATATCTGATCAATATTTTTCAAAACTGTTTAGGTCATGAAAGACAAAAATGATCTAAAAATACATGATGTCTCAAGGAGCCTAAGGAGACAAAACAACTAAATGTAATGCAGTGTCCTGAACAGAAAAAGAACATGAGGTGACACTAAGAAAATATGAGTAAAATATTTACTAAGTTTAAAATCATGTATCAATATTGATTCATTAATCATAACAAACATACCACAGTGAGTCAGGATGTTAACAACAATGGGTACCTTGGTGTAGGTATAACAGAACTGTCTGTACTATCTTCACAATTTATTTGAATTTAAAACAGTTCTAATATATGGAATAGTTCTAATATATGGAATCAACAAGAAGTTAAAAATCTTTAAAGAATGGCTGAACTTTGGTTTCAGTAATCCCAGGGCTCCAACTTCAAACATACAAGTTTTTTTTAGTAGAATCAATAGAATATTAAAATTTATATGAACTCTTAAGAGATCACAAATAGTCAAAACTTCCTTGAAAAGTAGAACAAAATTGGGATCTCATGGCTCCTGATTTTAAAACTCATTACAAAGCTCTAGTAATTGAAACAATATGGTATTGGCATAAGATAAATGTATAGAACACTGTAATAGAATAGAAGTCAATAAATAAGCCTTTGCATATATGTTCAAATGATTGTCATCTTTTCAATAAATGTTGGGAAAACTGGATATCCATATGCACAAGAGTGAAGTTAAATCCTTATTTCATACCATATGTGAAAACTAACTCAAGATGGATCAAAGGTTCAAATAAGAGACATCAAATATAAAACTCATAGAAGAAAACATGAGAGAAAATCTTCATGACATTGTATTTGTCAATGATTTATTTGAATATGATGCCAAAAGTATAGGATAGTAGATAAATTGGACTATATCAATATTAAAAACTGCATTTAAAGGACAAATTTAACAGAATCAATAGAAAAGACAACTCATGGAATGGAAACTCATGTATGTGATGTGAGTGATATCCTGAATATATAAAGAATTTCTACAATTCAGCAACAATAAAATAAACAATCTGATTAAAAATGGATAAAGGAGCCGGGTAGGGTGGCATATGTCTATAATCCCAGTGGCTTGGAAGGCCAGTCTCAGCAAAAGTGAGGTACAAAACAATTCAGTGAGACCCTGTCTTTAAATAAAATACAAAATAGGGCTGGGGATGTGGCTCAGTGGTCAAGTGCCCCTGAGTTCAATTCCCAGTAACATGCCCCCACCAAAAATGTACAAAGGTCTTGAGTAGATATTTCTCAAGAAAATATGTGTG